GGAGGACGGAGGACGGAGGACGGAGGACGGAGAACGGAGGAGAAGGAGGAGGAGGAGGATGAGGAGGAGGAAGAGGAGGAGGAGGAGGAGGAGGAGGAGGAGACGGAGGAGACGGAGGAGACGGAGGAGACGGAGGAGACGGAGGAGACGGAGGAGACGGAGGAGACGGAGGAGACGGAGGAGACGGAGGAGACGGAGGAGACGGAGGAGACGGAGGAGACGGAGGAGACGGAGGAGACGGAGGAGACGGAGGAGGAGGCGGAGGAGGAGGAGGAGGAGGAGGAGGAGGAGGAGGAGGAGGAGGAGGAGGTGGAGGTGGAGGTGGAGGAGGAGGAGGAGGAGGAGGAGGAGGAGGAGGAGGAGGTCCAGGCCGAGGGCAGGGCCCTCCCGCCGTCCCTGATGGGGGCGCGTGGTGGCCCGTGCGTGCCGCCGCGGGGGTCCAGCGAGGGCCTTCGAGGAGCTCCGAGCAGCCGGGCGACGACGACGAAAGACGACGACGACGAAAGACGACGACGACGACGACGACGACGACGACGACGACGACGACGACGACGACGACGACGACGACGACGACGACGACGACGACGACGACGACGACGACGACGGATGACGATGACGACGACGGATGACGATGGACGACGACGGCGACGACGACGACGACGGATGACTACGGCCGACGAGGGACGACAACGGCTGCGGCGGCGGCGGCGGCGAACTGGTCCACCCCAGAAGGGGTCGCGGTTGGCTCGCAGATCCGCGCGGTGCCTCATTCCACTGGACCCACCAGCAGCCCTCGGTAGTGGCGACAGTTTCGCAGATCGCAGTCCCTCAGAGCCTCGGCCACGGGGGCACGATCGCACGGATGTGCGCGATCCCACGGGTGCGCTCCGCGCGGGGCATCCGCCGCGCAGCCGCCGCGTGTCGACCTGGGGGTGCCCCGGCCGAGGGCTCCGGACTGCGAGGCCGTGGACGTGTGGGTATGCTTTCCCGCCCACGCCTCCCGCGGCCCATCCCGGGAGGGTCCCCCCCGACCTGCGCCCGGTGCCGCGTGCGCGCTTGCGCTCGCGCCTGCCGCTTGTCGGCGGCGAGCGAGGGGGGGAAGCGAGAAGGAGAAGGCCTTCTCAGAAGGTGGCAGGACTTCTCAGAAGCCTTCGCGCCCTCTGATGAGAAGTGTGTGTGTGGGTCCTCGCGGAAGGCTTAGACAGCTTCTCAGAAGGCCGGGGGGACTTCCGAGCCTTCTGAGAAGGCCGCCTGCTTCTCACCTTCCCCCCCCTTCGCTCGCTGCCGAGCTTATTCCCCGCCGGAGGTCGGCCCGATGGTCCTCTTCTACGGCTGCCGCCACGAGAGGGAGGAGTTCTTCTACAAGGACCTTCCGAGCGGACCCCTCGCGAAGTGAACAAAAACACGACGGAAGGCTTTTGGGGCCGTGTTCGAGATCCCAAGGGCCGTAGCCCAAGGACCGTCAGAAGACGGCGCAGGGTCAAACACTGGTCTTGGGGAAGGGGTCGAGACCCTGGGGGTCCATGCTCGCCCTGGAGGCCTGGGTTCGTGCGCTCGCCCTGTCCCTCGCCCTCTTGCGCGGCCAAGAGCAGAAGTCGTGACCTGTCGGCCTTGGAGCGCTCCTGGGCCTTTTTTGGGGCCTCCCTGGGGAGCTCCGGTGGCCGCACCTGGATTTGATGTGCGTCGAGATCCTGGCTGGAACGCGCTCGGGAGGGACCTGTGGGGGCCGACTTTGGACGCCGTCACCGGCATTTGGGCGTCCTGGGCGTCCAGGGGGCCGTTCCGTGTCCCGGAGCCGTCAAACGGTTCCATGTCGGGCGTCGAGTGTGGGGGTGCGATGCATCGACGTCACCTCAACATGCTAATTCTAGATGTGCGTCGCCCCACCAGGGGCGACGCGCGCACTGGGAAATCCCATAGTATGTGCGTCGTGGCGGGCGCTTTCTGGCGACACCGCTCGGGAAACGATATACGACAAGATGGGTATAATATATGTTCGGGTAGGACGCGCGCCTCCAAGGAGGACGTGTAGTACTCGAATGTCTTTGTGCGTACCAACGAACGGGGGGGGTGAGAAAGGTGTATCTTTTGTGCCCTGAAGGGGCCCTAAAGGGCCCCTAAAGTGGCCCCCCTGGGGTACAAAAGATGCACGTTTGTCCCCCCCCCCCCCCACATTCCATCAAGTAACGCCCGACCTTTCCCGACTTTTTTTGGGGGGTGGGGGGTAAAACAAATATGTACGTATATATATATATATATATATATGTATGTATTCCTCTTTCCATGTTTTTATAAGCCCGCGGGGGGACTCCCCCCAAAAACCGGACTCCCGGGATCTGGGGCTTTGGGACCCTCCGGACGGGCCTCGAAGCGGCCCCCCCGGGCCTCGCAGGGCGTTTTCTCAAGCCTTCCTAGCACACCTAGGGCGATCAGGGGGGTCATCGGAGATGTCCCAGAGACCCCCAGGACAGCACAAGAGCGCTCCAAGAGTGACGGACGTGACCTCAAGATGGCCCAAGAGGCCTCCAGGACGGCCCCAAAGAGGCGTTTAAGAGCACTCCCAATAAGGCCCCAATAGGCAAAATCATTGATCTTCTGTTGGTTTTTGGTGAATTTTGGGGTTCTCCTCTTTTCGGCTTCCCGACGCTTCAAGACGGCGGTCTTCTGGGCGTCCGAAGCCGCCTGGGAGGCTCCCAAATCGCCCCACAACCATCCGAAAGGGCTTCCAGGCAGTCCAAGAGAGCCCCGAAACGGCACAACACGGGTCCAAGATGGCCCTGAGAGAGCCCCATGGCAGCCCAAGATGGCTCCAGGACACCCTCCGAAGCATTCCAAATCGTGACCCGGTCGTTCAGGGAGACCGCGGTTGGAGGCAGGGTGGCCCGAGGAAGCCCCCAGAGGCCCCCAGAATACGCCCAGGAGGCCTCCAGAAGGCCTTAAGAAAGCCTGGAACAACTTTTGTGAGGCCCCCAGAGGCTCTCCAAGGAGGAGCCTCCGCAAACAAGAGCTCAGAAGGATGGGGAGAATGCGCAGGGTATGGCGAACATGAGGAAAAAGAAACATGAAGGAAGGACAACGAATAACATTATTATAGCGGCGATGCCAGAAAAGGCAACAAGGAGTTATCGCTAAATTGTCGGCTTGACCTTCCTGCTATTCCGCCTGCGTACCAAACCTCAAGGACCAAGGTGCATGGCCCAAAGCGCCACTGCAGTCTTGTATATATATATATATACATACAAGACTGCATTGGCGCTGCGCGCCATGCACCTTGGTCCTTTGAGTTCTGCACGCAAGCGGAATGTGTGCGTGCATACATGTGCGCATGCATGTATACACGCGCGCGTGAATGCACGTTCCGTATAAATGTCTAGGTTTATACAATAGACTTACATTGTTGTGTGTGTGTATACAGCGTACATCTGTACATATAAATTCATGTGTGTAAGGGTATGAACATGCATATGCAACTCGTACGGGGCATCCTCGGGCATCTTCGCTGCATGTCACGAAAACCTTAACGACTGGGTCACAATGTGAAATGTCATGGGAGCAAAATGAATGAATGTTGGCATTCGGAAACATCGTGGGGGTGTTTTCGGGGCCCTCGTGGGCCGTTTTGGCGCCTTCCTGGGCCGTCCTGGGGCCTTCTTGGGCCGTCTTGGGGAGCTTGGGCCCGCTGGAGCCACCTTTGGAACCATCTTGGGCACTTCCGGGGACCTCCCATGGCCCTTTCGGGTCTGTGCTGGGAGCCCTTGGGGGGCCTCTTGGTTCCATTATGGGCTGTTCGTGGGCGGTCGTGGGGCCGGGCTCGACCGTCTTGAAGCTTTCTCGGGGACCTTTTGAGGCGTCTGGAGGCGATCTCGGGGGCTTTGAAACCGTCTTGAAAGCTGATGAAATCCGAAAGGCGAATCTGCTAGAATTGTAAGTTTTACGAAGGGAATGGGAAGATTTTTGTGGTTTGAAGGTCTCTTGGAAAGCTTTTTGGAGTGCCTTGGGGGTCTTTATTTTGGCATTCGGAAACATCGTGCAGATGTTTTCGGGGCCCTCGTGGGCCGTTTTGGCGCCTTCCTGGGCCGTCCTGGGGCCTTCTTGGGCCGTCTTGGGGAGCTTTGGCCCGCTGGAGCCCCCTTTGGACCCATCTTGGGCACTTCTGGGGACCTCCCATGGCCCATTTGGGTCTGTGCTGGAAGCCCTTCGGGGGCCTCTTGGTTCCATTATGGGCTGTCTTGGGGCTCTCGTGGGCGATCGTGGGGCCCGGCTCGGCCGTCTTGAAGTTTTCTTGGGGGCCTTTTGGGGCGTCTTGAGGCGATCTCGGGGGCTTTGAAACCGTCTTGAAAGCTGATGAAATCCGAAAGGCGAATATGCTAGAATTGTAAGTTTTTACGAAGGGAATGGGAAGATTTTTGTGGTTTGAAGGTCTCTTGGAAAGCTTTTTGGAGTGCCTTGGGGGTCTTTATTTTGGCATTCGGAAACATCGTGGAGGTGTTTTCGGGGCCCTCGTGGGCCGTTTTGGCGCCTTCCTGGGCCGTCCTGGGGCCTTCTTGGGCCGTCTTGGGGAGCTTGGGCCCGCTGGAGCCACCTTTGGACCCATCTTGGGCACTTCCGGGGACCTCCCATGGCCCTTTTGGGTTTGTGCTGGGAGCCCTTGGGGGGCCCCTCTTGGACGCCCCCCTCTTGGTCGCCCCTGAAACAATGCCAAAAACCGAAAAGGGCGAGAGTGAGGAAAAGCTGGGAGGGTCGATCGCAGTTTGCGACGCCTGGGTCTGAGTCTCCACGGGTCTCTGGAGCCCTTTGGAGGATATGGAGCTCTACAGACGCCAGCAGAGGCTTCTGGAGATTTTTTCGAAAGGGCCACGAACCCAGACGTCCGGCCGCTCCAACTTTCTCGATGCGTGGGCCCCCGAGGTCTGGACCGCTTCCCTGGGGCCGGTTTGTCGTCCAGAGTTTTTTCCCAACCATTTTGTGTCTTCGTTTTGAAGAGACAGTGCCCCGCGTTTCTCCTCTCTTTTTCTCCTCCCGCTCCTCCCTATTTTCGTCATCCCCCTCACATTGGCACACCCCGTGGCCCCATAGGGAGCTCCACCGAAGGTCCCAATTGCGCAGCCCGCAGGCGTCTCCCCCACCCAGTACAGCGTTTTGTGGTCTTAAGGTCAGCTCCACAGAGGGTCCCAGTGTCGCAGCCCGCATGCGGCTCCCCCACCCTGTACAGCGCTTCGTGGCCCCATACGGAGGTCCACCAAAGGTCACAGTGTCGCAGGCCGCATGCGTCTCCCCCACCCTGTACAGCGCTTCGTGGCCCCATACGGAGGTCCACCAAAGGTCCCAGTGTCGCAGGCCATATGCGTCTCCCCAACAAGCACAGCGCTTCGTGGCCCCATAGGGAGCTCCACCGACGGTCCCAGTGGCGCAGCGCGCATGCGGCTCCCCCACCCAGCACGGCGTTCCGTGGCCCCATAGGGAGCTCCACCAAAGGCCCTCCCAGTCGCGCAGCCCGCATGCGTCTGATTGGGCGACGGACCCGAGGGCACGCCCGCTCCGTGCCCGGCGGCACGGTGGCGGATGAGAGGCTCCCGTGAGTTGCCACCGAAGGCGGGCAGGGGTGGAAGTGGTTCAGATCCCCGTGTTTGCATCGGCGGCGAGTCCGGGGGGGGCGAAGTGGCCGCAGACGCGCTGACGGTGTGTCAGCCAATGCCGATGTAGGAAGGCCAGTCGTTCGTGGCCGAACCGATTGTAAGAACGCGTGGCTCGTGTTTTCATACAACTCGCTATGTCGTTTTCGTTCGATATATTCGGATATACGCAATGCAGGAAACGGTATTTCGTGATTTCATACACTTTGTTTTGCGTGAGCTCGGTGTCACAAAAACGATCTTCCCAACCGCACCGTCAACCAAGGACGCCGTTAGCGCGGCCTTGGAGTGAGAAGGAGAAGGCCTTCTCAGAAGGCTCGGAAGTCCACCGGCCTTCTGAGAAGTTTTCTCAGCCTTCCCCGACGACGCAGAAAGCCTCTCAGAAGGCTAGAGGCCTTCTGAGAAGCCCCGCCGCCTTCTTAGAAGGCCCTCTCCTTCTCACTTCCCCCCTCGCTCGCCGCCGATTGCAGCACGCACCTCTGGCCGGCTGGGCGCGTCTTGAGGACATCTGCAGTAAGCCAAGCGCCGACACCGCTCCTCTCCCGGCCAGGGCCCACGTCCGTCGGTGTGCTCTCGTGGCCGCCGCCGTGTGGCAAGCAGGCGGCCGCGCTGCCAGTCACGGCGCAGAGGCATCCATCGAGCGGCGCACCCCATCTTCTCCTAGGAATGCTCCTGCGCACTATCCGAAGCCTCCCATGGGGCGCCGACCACGGCGCTGAGGCATCTATCGAGGGGGGCGCCCCATCTTCTCCGATGACCCACGACGTCGGCGTCGTCGCCCTCTCCTCGCGGCAAGGTGGCGGGGGCCGGCGGGCGGTGCGAGGAGCAGCACACGCAGCGCGTGGTGTGCAGCGCGCCTGTGTGCACTGAGACGCCTCAAATGTGCGGTCAAATGTGCGGCCCTTCTGGCCTCGAGACTACGAGGAGGAGGAGGAGGAGGAGGAGGAGGAGGAGGAGGAGGAGGAGGAGGAGGAGGAGGAGGAGGAGGAGGAGGAGGAGGAGGAGGAGGAGGAGGAGGAGGAGGAGGAGGAAGGGGATCGAAGGGGAGGAAGAGGAGGAGAGGAGGAGGATAGGGCATGCATGCTCCTGCGCACTACCCGACGCCTCCCATCACGGCGCCCACCACGGCGCCCCGCGGGAGGCCTCGGCCGATGGCGCCGTCCCGTGGCGGGCAGGAGGCCACGGGGCCCCGGCCACGGCGGTGCTGCCCCCCCCCTGCGGCACATCGGCCTCGGCCGAGCCACGGCCAGACGCGTGAGCCCCCTGGACGGCCGCGCGCGGCGGCTGCCGGCACGGCGTGGCTCGGCGGGGGCCCGCGCAGCTCCGACTCCGTGTGCTCTTGGCATCGCTCGGACGTGTGGATTTTTCCTGCGGCGAGGACCATCGAGGAGCATCCTTGACCATTGGGCGAAGAAACCACGCACGAAACCGAACAAAAACACAGGGAATGGACGTCCGAGCGATGGCCAGTGCTTCGAGGCGCCGACCGGGGCCGCGACTCCGGTTCGATCCGTGCCGGCTCGCTCGGCTCGCTGCACCGGCAGCGGCCGGAGAGCCGGCCGGAGCCCGGCGCGGCGGTGCGACTTCGAGTCGATGCGGGGCGCTTCGCGGGCGATCCGATGCGCTCCGGTGCGAGTCGACTTCGCGGTGGGGTCCAGCTCGGGCCTGCCTCCCTGCCGCCTTCCAGCGCGGCCCCTCGCCCAGGAGGAGTGGGAGCTGTACAAGAAGAGCGGCGTGCTCACGGAGATTGTGTGCGCGTTCTCGCACGACAAGCCGCACTACCCCCCCAAGATGGTGTTCGTCAACCAGAAGATGGAGGACCCGCTCGAGCGACCGAGATGGATACAGTGCCGTTTTTAATACATGCTCCGCGTGCGGATCATGTATTACAAATGCAGGGATTTAGCATTAAAAACAAAGAGGAGTTCATGCATGAATTTAATCATAAATTAATCATATATTAAAAATCATACTTAAAATATCCCATGTATAAAAAACTGCCCTGTCAGACGCTCGGGGCGACTGCGCGGGCGTGCGCGCGCAAGCTGCCCGCGCGAGGCCGCGCGTGGGCGACCCCTCTTGTCCGCGTGCCCGGTCGCGCCAGCGGCCAGGGTATGCCGGCGCGCAGGGTCGCCGTGGTGCGCCGTTCCCACCCTCCCCGAGCGCCGCCGGCGTCGAGCGCCTGCTGGCTCCCGCCAGCACCTGCGCGGTGGCACAGTCAACCAGCACTGAGGACGGGCACCTTTCCCGAAGGTACCCTCGGCGTCCTTGCCTCCTCGGTCCATCCTTGGCCACTTTCGCGGGCCGCGCCCCGCTCGCGGGGTGTCGACATGGCCTTCCAAGGCCCTCGCATCCTTGTCGCGCATCCTTCGGATGCGGGCCGACTGTAGAGCTGTCGCCGTGCCCTCCCCTGGTGGGTTCGTGAGGCCGGGGCCTCGCCCGCCCTTTTTTGTTCCCTCCCGTCGTCGGTGGCCCCCATGCGACGTGCACGCACCATGCTATGCCACGCTGTGCTGTGCTGAGCCACGTGGTTTAACAGCATGAGGGCCTGCTCCCTAACCTTCAGGAGGAGAGAAAACATGCAGACACAATCCATCGTCGACTCCCAGGAGAATGTGGGAAAATATGGGAAGCGGGGGGGAAAGACGAACACCCCAAAAATATGGGGAACATATGGGGAATCCTGGGATTTGTGTCTATTGATTTGTGTGTCCCTTGGCCCCTTTGACCTGCTGGCATCTTCGCCGCTCTCGAAGCGTGCCTCGCTCTCAGAGCAGGGGGGTCGTAACCGCTGCCAGATTCAGGAGAATCTCGGCATGATCGGCAAGTACATGGGTCAGCTCGGTGGCTACTTCTACATGTGCGGGCTGGCGGTGGCGGCTCCTGGTATCGAGACGGCTCTGAAGAAGGCCATGATCGGGGCCGGCGTCGTGAAGGAAGCCCAAGCCGACACCTGGATCGAGGACCTGAAAAAGTCGGGCCGTTACAGCATGGAGTCGTACTGAGTGTTGGGCAGGCGGCTCGGCCGCATGGCTCAGTGTACTCAGTGTGGGGCGGGCAACTTGGCCGCATGGCGTAGCGATCGATAAGCGTGCAATGGGGATCTATGGGCTGTGGTATGCCCGTGTGCGGTCCACCACAGTCCTCCAGTCCTCGGCGTTAGGCAGCGCTGCGGAATTTAGCCTCAGCGCGTGCCTGTTCTAGGGAAACTTTTGTAGTGTAGCCTCCTACTTCGTCCCGTGTGCCATCCCATTGACTAACAGTGAAGTGACTTTCTGTCCTCTTGTATCCTCTTCTCGCCCATACCTAAGTGATCCAGTCCGTAAGCGACATTTACCGCCTTAGGCTTGGGCGGCCTTTGTATTTTCCACGCGCGTGATGATCGAAGCTTTCCTCAGCAGGTGGCTGGAGGCCGGGGTGATTTCAATTTTGGGCACCGTTGCTTGTGGACCATGCCAAATCAGAGTCTTGGGGTTACTGTGGCAGTTCTTCGGAGAAAAGCGTTTTTTTTCTCCCGTAGCCGTGCCAGATCAAGTGCAACAGTGGCCCATGAAGCTTGTCGTGGGGCTCGGCACCAGGGTTTCGCGAGGTGTGCACCCGAA